ACTGTGCTCATTCAAGTTTGTAATGACACTGCCATGGGTGAACAGAATTTGCTTTAAGTATTATTCTCCTTTTTCCTATCTCCTGCCTCCTTTAAACTGCGTTTCTCAGGGGTAAATCTGCAAAAGAGCCTGCTAAAAAGACAACTCTCTAAGTACACATTTTTGGAGATATGTTCTCAAGTTGTGTTTTTAAATTACTTTAAAAGTTCCTGTTTATTTTCTCTGCCTGCTTTGAGCGTTTCCTTGCAGGCTGTGAGTGGAGGACGAGCAACGCTGTCTTGCAACAGGAGATAGGAGAGAATTAGCCTCCCACTAAAAGGTGGGAGGCTTCTCATTATCAATGCACAGCACTCAGACTGCGCAAACCAGAAGCACTTTCTTTGCTTACTTACCGCTAGAGTATGCTCTCGTGCTACAAGTTCCAGGGTTCTTTTTTTTTTTTTAAATAAATCAACGTGTGTAGCACAAGCCTGTGTTTCCAAAGCTTTTCACTTGCCCTAGCGCTTTTTCGGAAGGATGACTTTTTTACTGCTGCCGTGCCCATCCTCCAGGCTTTGCCAAAGCCCAGAGGGGTGGTGTGAATTGCCCTGCAGTGAGGTGATTTTAACTTGGGCTTGGACAACTCTGCTTTCAGTACGTCAATGAAAACAGTTAAAAATATCTGCCTGGCTCACACTCTTGATAAATACAGAAAGAGAGGGTTCACTTGTACTACTTGTCTTGCTCAGCCTTTCAAAGGTTTATACCTTTGAAAGAAAGAGAAGTCAAATCTCATGAATTAAAAGATTTCTGCCTGCAGAAGAAAAATGCACTCTCCGAAGTGTTTGTGCCAACATAAAGCGTGTCTGTAATGCTAGCTTTTGAAAGGGTAATAGTTATTCAATAAGATGAAGGCTGTTGTGAACCTGCCCTACCACATTAGAGCAAGGTACTTTGTCACTGGCACCCTAAAAGTTCCAGTTTCTGCAAGACAAAGAGATAAAACAACTTGCAGGACAATTAAAGAATAGTTTGTCCTTACCATATGATTACCAGTTACTGTTCCACACTTTGATATTTGCGTTTAAATTGCTACCTCCCCCCTCAATCTAATTGTAGTCAGTCACAGTTAACATTGTCTTTGGATGCCTTTTCCAAGTTAAGTACAAAGCAAGAAAAATGCTGCAAAGAAAAAAGCCACACTTTGGGTAAAGAGCCTCGCCACCAGCCTGCATTCATAAACAGACTGTGCACTTTGCTGCTAAAATTACATTTTAGCAGCCCCAACGGGTGCAGGAACAATGACCCCTCTCATTACCATAGTGACAATGGCTGGCTGAGGATTGCAACATATCTTTTTCTTCTCCCTGATGAACCTCAGCCAATAACATTTGAAACCTGCCAACAAGTTGAGTATATTGAAGCACACTTGGTCACCACAGAGCCAAGCAGTTGCCTTCTGGATGGAAGGCAGCCATTTGGGCCCAGCCATTATTCAGCCAGCGTTTACACCCTGAAATACCAGTTTCTTCTAGCAACCTGATTAACTTCTGAGTGGGTCACAGCTGCAGTTTCTTTTGCTGCAGCCAGACCGCATAAAGAAACCTTCCCTAAATTCTCTTAATACTTTTCTCAGTTTCAGTTCATGCCCCCCCTTTTTGTGTGTGTGTGTGTGTGTCGATCATGTTTCAAAATGGTCCGGCAGCATCAGCTTCTCCATTCCTCAGAATGTGATATACCGTTTTTCAGTCATGCCAACCCGCAATCCTGCTCTTTTTTTAATAAATGCAAACCTAATTTTCTAACGTTTCCACTTAGATCTAATCCGTACAGCTGTTTATTATCCCAGTTACCCTCTTCTATACCTTTTTCATTTGTATTCAAAAGCTTCTCCTTAATCTGACTCTGTTCTCTAGGTATGGCCTCGCTGGTCTTTTGTGCAATCCCAAAATGATTTCTGTGGATGTGTTTTAGTCTTCTATCGATAGGTCTCTCTCTAACTACTCCCTCAGTGTGAATTGGTGTTTTTAATATTCTGTAAACTGTCACCTTCAATCCTTTTCTTCATCAGTGTTTTACGTCTGCTCGTTCAGGGCGTAAATCTTTATTGTTCATATCTAATGCCACATTTGCACTTCAAGCTTTAAAACAAAGCAACACGTATCACAACCTTTGCCATCAGGCCTTGGGTTGCGTCCCCTCCCACCAGCAGAACCCATATTTGCCTTTTCTCCAGATTTACATCAGTTTAAGAAGCAGAAGAGGAGCCCCTCGCTTCAGTCTGCCGTTGCAAGTAGTACATATAACAAGTCAAGCAATACGTGGCATTCAGAGTGCAATGTTTAAAATTCAGTGGTTAAAGTTCAGTGTCTAATGAGAGTGGCGGGCGCTCTTGCGCATGCTGCTTGGGAGTCTGCCTCCAGATTAAAGGCATCATAAAAGCAGGCTTGAAATTGGTTTGAGGGAGGAAGACAAGACAGAAAGGAGAAAGAGGGAGTAAAAAGGGAAGGACGGGGGGTTGCAAGAGGAAAAAGAAGCCTGGTGCATAGGCAGGGAATCCAAGTTTGAAGCGTTTCTGCAAAATATGGGAAAATGCCCTTAGTTTGGGGGAGGAGAGTGAAAAGCAGTGATGCTGGTACAGCATTTGGGACGAGGAGGCCCAGGCCTGTGGTTCTGGCCTAATCACCGCCGTTCTTGTCCAAGAACCATGACATAGGTCGACCCGAATTGTGGAGTACAGGCCGGACACCGGTAGGACATGTCTTCCCCCGGACACCTGTGGGATACGTCTCATCCTGAGGGTGTAGGCGCAGGCTGAACACCGGTGGGACACGTCTTGCCCTGAGGGTGCAGCCTGGACACTGGTGGGACCTGTCTCGCCCTGACGGTGTGGGCGCAGGCTGGACACTGGGGGGACACGTCTCACCCTGGACACTGGTGGGACACGTCTCGCCCTGAGGGCATGGGGAGAAGCCGGACCCTGGGGGGGGACACGTCTCACCCTGGACACTGGTGGGACAAGTATCGCCCTGAGGGCATGGGCACAGGCTGGACACCACTGGGACACGTCTCTCCCTGGACACTGGTGGGACACATCTTGCTCTGAGGGTGCAGACGGAGGCTGGACACTGGTGGGACCCATCTCCTCACAGACACTGGTGGGACATGTCTCCCCCCAGGGCTGCCTGTGAGCAGGGAAGAGTTGGGGCAGCCCAGCATGGGGTAGGTTGGCCTCCCAGCTGGTTTAAAGCCCACCCCGGGTGAGGAGGATGAGCTGGGAGCCGCTCTGGGGTGGGCAGCTGCCCCGCGCTGGGCCAGGAGGCCTCACGCCGCCAACTCAGGGGCGCCTCCG